TAAGCAGCGTGGTCATTAAGTGAGGCATCATGTGACCACACCCGATTTTACAACAGTTTTTGTGACGGTCGTTAAGCAATTCACACTTAGCAATGTGATTGTTAAGTGAATCACATGGTTCCCCATTGATTTTGCTTGTTGGAAGCTGGCTGGGAAGGTCGCAAATGGTGATCACGTGACCCTGGGATGCTGCAACTGTTGTAAATAAATGCCAGTTGCCAAGCATCCGAATTTTGATCACATGACCGCAGGGATGTTGCCATGGTCATAAGTGTGAAGACTGGTTGTAAGTCACTTTTTTCAGTGCCATTGTAACTTCAAACGGTCACTAAACAAATGGTCATAAGTCAAGGACTGCCTGTATAAAGATATAAAATGTCAGTTCAGATGTAAAGGAAAGTCTTCTTTTTCTTTTAATTTTAGAAAGCCATGATTTCTTTTAATGAAATTCTGCTATTATCAAGTTTGGGTATGGGTAGCCCCCCCTTCCCTTCTGAATATATTTAAATATGAGAGATGGAAGTACTGGATGAAGTCCCTTCATGTATATTATCAAAATGGTAGCAACTATATACAAGACAGAGGCTTCAGAAAACTTGCAGTAACTCCATGCTTTGCAGAAATGCAAGCCTGGTTCCCTGAAACTCCAGAAGGTGGCAAGAGTTACCACTCTTGATAGTTGTATGTGTATATGTACAATCTCTAGTTGAAAGGAACTGTTGCTAAAGAAGAGAAACTTATGACGGATCTGTGGTGTACTTAATACCAAATACTGCAACTATTTAAAACAGTCCTGCAATATTATCTAGAAATTTGACATCCTGTTCAGATTGAGGGTTGGGGCTGGAATTCAGAGAAGTTTGTAACAGCCTCCTATCTAATGCTTTTTTTCTCATATTGCAGATTACTTGAGGGTATAGCGTAGATTTCTGTAGTAGTAGTTAATTTTACTGCTCTGGGGAGGGCTGTGCTGAGGGAGTAACTGCAGAGTCCCTACTCCAGTATGGCCTTTAGATCTTTATTCCAAACTGCAGAGCGAAGCATTTAAATGTTCCTCCTTTGAACACTGAAACAGGGCTCACTCTCTGACTCATTTGTATAGGTGACGGATGCATTGTAAATTCTTACACACTGCCAACATTTCACAGTAAGCTGATCAGAACCCATTTTGCTTTAGGGCATTGTACTTCACTAACTTGGTGAATTATCATGGTCTTCTCAGACAGAGAAGGACCAGAAGAAGGCAACCAAAGAGCCAAACACAATATTTCCAGTCTGTAATAACTCTGCTAAGACAACACCAGGCCCTTACCCTAACCCCTACCCTGGACCCAGGAGACTCTGACCTAGATCAAAAGCCTTCTCTACTTAGTCCTTGAGAATGCTGTTGTCTGAGAATATGTGAATGCAAAGAAGAACTCAAGCATTTCTATTTAGCTATCTTTATTTAAAGTAATACTACTTATGTTTTTCTATAGTGATAAAGCACACTGTTTTTTCTTCTTAAACAGGTAGTGAAACGTCTTCCCAAAACTCGTTCAGGGAAGATCATGAGAAGGTTGCTAAGGAGAATTGTGACAGACAATGTTAGTGATATGGGAGATATCACCACACTAGATGATCCCAGTGTCATAGAAGAAATATTTGAAACATATAAGAAATACAAACTTAAGCATCCTACTCTATAATGGACTATTGTGAAGATGAGTTCTGTTAAGAAGCTGAAGGAACAAAAGGAACTATCAAAATTTATTCTTGTTATGTCAAAGAGCTATATTTATGTAAAATCCAAAGAATTTTTTCCTGAAAAGAATGTGTATTGTAGCAGCTTACCTCTTGCACGTGTTGCATTGAATTTATATTTCATCTTTCTTTGAAAGCATGGAAAAAAATAATTTTCAAACTGCTATTTAAGACATGTTCTGCCTTTGTTAAAAAGAGTGTAGAAACTTAAGGAGTAAGTTTGAATTTACCCTTAACACTTTTGCTTCAGATATATAAAATACTCTTTTAAACTCAGTTTGTTTTCCTAATTTTGTCTTATCACTCAGGTGAGTTGAAGCTCTCAGTACTTTAAGTTATGTGAATTTCTTTTAAAAAATCACACAATGATCTTTTTTGTATGGTACTATACTATTTTGAAAGTACAATAATTGAAAGCCAAATTAAACTCAAAACTGACTTTTTATCAGTACCATATACTTCTGTATAACATGTTGAAAGTTATCTTTTTGAGTGGGGTGGGACAAACAAAACTGTTATAATGTTGCATTGACATCTAATTATGAACTGGCATGCAGTATTCTTTATTAAACATGCAAATATCTTTTTACATATCTACATATTGCTAATATGCATGAGCCTGATATGATATTGCATCATCACATGCAATTATGAAGAAACAATTTTCTGAATTCAGTGCAAAAACATCTGGTTTGGTTTCAAATTCAGAAACCAAACCAACTCAATCACCTACTTTCCTGAGATTAATGAATTCTTATTATGTGATGGAACTCAAGAGAGAAGGAAGACCTAGTATATGAGAAATACTCAGTTATGGTTGGATTGGTTTCTGGAGTGTTGGGATTGAATGGTTTATTTTGATACTGGTGAGTGATAGTGCAAGAATACATTTGTTCTGTGATTTTCAAACCAGTGAGTTAGGAACCACTTTCTAGTTTGATGCATGCTTTCATGCAGACTGGTACACAGCAGACCACTTTCTCCTCAGAAGATACCAGCCACAGTTGCTGGCGAAATGTCAGGATACCAGATAGTTAGATCACAGTCTATTAACTGGAAAGCTCATCACCAGTGAATGTTCTAATTGTTGGGAAGGGCAAGTGGATATGTTCCCATTCCATGTACAAAAGGCATTTGGATTAACAGTTCAGGTCACTCCAATCCTAGGAATAAGCATTCATTCATGCATGCATTTATTCCTTCATTATTTATTTATTTTAAAAAATTATATAGCCACCCATCTCACAGGTGTGATGAACAGAGGATTAGCAACAAAATGTTTGCAAAAATAACATCTAAAAACAATAATATAACACGTTCCACTTTCCAGTCTTTAAGAAGACAAGAACTAAACCAACCAACGGCTTCCTACCCAACTGAGAATCGGCTTGTTTAGCAAGCACAAGACAGGCTATGACACACACAGCTCCCCTCCAAGAAAGGAGGCTCAGAAGAAATTTCTGGGGAACTTCCGAAATGCCGTCCCCCAACATTTACCACCTGAGGTTATTACAGCACTTCCCCAATGATAAAATTGCAGGCCAGTTTGGTGTAGTGGTTAAAGACTAGAAACCAGGAGACCATGAACTAGTCCCACCTTAGGTACAAAGCTGGGTGACCTTGGCCAGTCTCTTTCTCTCAGCCTTAGGAAGCAAGCAATGGCAAGCCACTTCCAAAAAACCTTGCCAAGAAAACTGCGGGGACTAGTCCAGGCAGTTGCCAGGAATCAACACTGACTCGAAGACACACACACACAATTACTTGTGCATACTTCTCTTCTTGGATTTTATGACAAATGACAGCCTCAGTAACTTAAAAAGAAACATTTTTTTTAATATTGTGATAGCTGACATTTTTATCTTCAACATTAGTAGCTTAGAGGTGAATATGTGTAGCTCAGGGTTGAACTCTCTATTTATATGCTGTGGCCTGCCTTGCCAGTGCTGGTGGGGGGTTTGTTTTGCTACTCTGGTAGTTCCTTGATTAGCCTATGTTTAGTGCTTGATTGTGTGCCTGGTGGTAACCTTTGCTTATCTGGGTGATGATTGCTGGTGATTGATGTGTAGCTCAGGGTTGAACTCTCTATTTATATGCTGTGGCCTGCCTTGCCAGTGCTGGTGGGGGGTTTGTTTTGCTACTCTGGTAGTTCCTTGATTAGCCTATGTTTAGTGCTTGATTGTGTGCCTGGTGGTAACCTTTGCTTATCTGGGTGATGATTGCTGGTGATTGATTGCTGGTGAGGCAATCATCTGATCTTTCGTCTTTTGAATAGTATGTAGATGCTGTTTATCTCTATGTGTCTGTTAATTGCTGCCTTGCCTGAATACCAGGCTTCCAGTTCCCTAACCCCATCCCATTTTAGCACTGAGGATGTTGTCTAGCCAGGTAATGAAATGTTTGCAAGAAAAGAACCAAGCTCAGAGAACCCCAAGGACTCCACATTAGTAGCTTAGGTCCTTCATCTTTAGTACTTAGAGGTGCAATAATGCTGCACCTCTTTGGGTCACCTAATTTATGTGTCTCTAATTGTCTTTTCAGTGCAATGTCCTAACTTCAAAGGATATTATCCCCTTCTATACCTTTCAAAATCATACAAATCACAGCAAAATTACCCTGTTATTTTCCATTCCATCTCACCTCAGACCCATCAGCAAAATACCTATCGTCTTTCCTAAAGTACTCTCTCTTTCCAATTCGTGCTAATATCCCTTACTCCTAAAAACCCCCTCCCTGCGTTTTTTTTTTTTACACAAGTCTGTCTACAAATGTAATCAACATTTGGAAGCAAGAGCCTTTCCTACGTTCTTCTCACGAGAAAGTAAGTAGCCCCGCCCTCGAGGAAGCAACGCTAGCTCCAATTGGGCAAGGAAGTGCTGAGAAAGGGCTGGCGTATCCAGTGGGGCGTGGCCTTAGCTGATTCGTTGAACTGAAGCAGTTAAGGAGGGAAACGTCTGCCTGAGGGGGCAAGAGAGAATTGTATTAAATTAGAAAATTAAAGAGGAAATGAGGAAGGTTATCTATCGGCAGCCAAAAGAGCGATGGGGACACGGCTCTATGGAGGCTGTTGGTGGGTTATCGCGAGGGATGGACTTCTTGGGAGAGGTTGGGGCCACTGCTGAAGCGGACTCAGACCTGCGCGACACCCCTTGAACCGTCTCGGGGGATTGAGCGGAGCTTTCTCTTAGGGACTGGATGGTGGCTGGGCGTTTCTGAAGGCGGCGGCGGGCCTCTGACGCGGCAA